CTTAAATGAGTTTGTTTATCATCAAAATATGGAGCATCAGAGTCATAGCATGAACTTTCAAGTTCTCTATAATATCTTCTACCGTCATTCTTTGCGAATATTTCATTTATCTTTTCGAATGAATGAAACACATTTCCATTAATCGGTTTAGTGTTTGGCACCAAATAGTTAGTCGTCATTTATTAATAAATAAAAAATCAAAATTAAAAGATGAAAATGAATTTTTAATTTTAATGAAATAATCAACTATGGCTGCAGGTATATTTAAGAAACTGTGGGATAAAGTAAAAAGAGGAGCGCATAAAGTTTGGGAAACATTGAAGAAGGGAGCAAATTGGATATTTAAGAATAAAGAAGCAATTAGTGACGTTGCTGAATCAATAACACCAAAAGCCGCCCCAATAAGAGAAATATTAAATAAAGGAGAAAAAGTTTATCAAAGACTTCAACCGATACTAAGATAAAAATAATATTTATTTATTTTTCCACTATCTACCTCCTATTTTATTAAGTATTCCTTCAGCAATTCCACCAACTGCGTTACCTGCTTGTGCTCCCATCGCCGGATTACCTGCTTTAGTACCTAATACTCCACCTATGATAGTTCCTGCCGTTTTCGCTACTGGTGCCAAAAAGTTTGCAACGGGTTTAATAATATTTTTATGAACCCAACCTGCAGCTTTCTTAATTCCATCCCATAATTTTTTAAAGAATCCTGCAGCCATTTCTGATTTAATATTAATTAAAAAATATATTTCATCACTTATATTCTAATTTTTATTTAATGATAAATGAAACCAATTTTAAAAATAAATGAAACGGAGAAGGAAGAAATAAATGAAAGTGAAGATGTTCAACAAAAAATAAACGTTGTTAAACCAATTACTGAAATAAAAATTTTTTCATCTGTTGAAGAATTTAATGACTATTATGCTAATAATAAAAAATTATTTGAAGAATTGACAACGTGTAAATTGAATAAAATGTTTAAAGTTGATGGATTCAAAATTTCAAAAATAAAAGGAGTGGTTAGTTTGAAATCTATTCCTCAATCAAGAATCACCTCATTAATGAAAATAGATGATTTAACAAAAAGAATAGAAATTATTGAAGAGCGAATAAATCAAATTATTGATTTCATAAATCATGACTCGTTGAGCCCGGGTCCTTAAAGCCCATCACTGAGTTCAAGGTTATATTCATCAAATATTTCATTATTAAATGCAACTTCTGCTAGTTTATTTATTTTTTCAATACGATCATTTGAAAGTCTATCGTTTAATTTTTTCTGAAGTTTTTCATTTTCATGTTCGAAGCTTGTAAGTTTGTTATCTTCAAATATTATATTAGTTTCATATATCAAATTATGATATCGGTCATATTCTTTTAAGTGATAAATAAATACAAAATTTACGGTTCCTTTAATTTTAAATTCAAAATTAATTTTACAACAGCTTTGTGGATCAATTAGTAAATCAATCAAATAATGTTCAAAATCAGATATTATTCTTTTTCCATACATTTTATATTAAATAAAAAAATCTAACTTTATTTTTTCGGAGTTTTGTGACGAAGTGCGAATCTTCACTTTGTCAAAAATATATTCTTTTTATTAATGGTAATATAGGAATTGTAGGAATAAAAACTTTTTATAAATTATTCATAAATTTTTAAAATTTGCTATTCGGAAGTATGTTCAAAAATCATTCAATTATGTGAGAATTCTTACGATTACAAAAAAAGTCACACAACCCGCATCATATACTACTTTTATTATTATTTTTTGTTTTGAATCATTTTTTTACTAAATCATCCTATATTACAAATTAATACATATAATTAGGATTTCATGTTAGATATTGACAACCAAATAAAAATTATATCTAAAATTGATTTTTTTTTCATTGTTCCACTATTAGTATGTAGAATCAATTTGAGAAACATATAAATATAATATATCATTATGTACAACTCGGCGTATAGTAAATATCATTAATTTATTTAATTTCTGACGATAATGCTCAAATTATATGATATATTACACACATGTAATGATAATTTTGCAAGTTAAAATTGATGAGTCGCATTATTTGGTTTGATTGAAAAAAGAGGAAATTCAATTTTTTGAAAGCTTTCACAAAAGAATAAATCATCTAATATTGTCTCATAATCTTATTTATAGCTTTTTCACATATGCTATCGTTTTCAATGATTATCAAAATCATTTTTTTGAATAGATGTTCAAATTTCGAAAGTGTTGATAAGTTGGTATTATCCATAATATATGCAAATTTATTTCTGCATCAAAATCTTAATTTGAAGAAAAAATAATCGTAAACCAAAGATTTTACACTGAATATCGGAAACAATGATAGTTATCCATCATATTACTATTTTCAAACAAATTTCTACATTTTCATTTTTGTGACAATTAAATTTTAATGTTTTGTTGTTTTTTATCTCTTTCAAAATCGATTCCGGAAGTAATAAACTTAACAGGACAAGCATTAGACACACAATTTTCGATCAATATCAATTCAGAAGCTATTATTGTTTCCCATAATTCTTTTGCGTATTACGTTTTTAATCCAGAAAGTTTTTCAGTTGAATTTCCAAATGGAACTACAACAGATATGGGTACCATATTATATATACCATATATAGAATACATGAGTTACAATTATAATCTCAGTATCCGTTGCCAAGGTTTAAAAACATTACATGCCATCATTTTCAAGAATAACTACAAAGAAATAACCAGTAAGTTTTATACATTGAGAAATACATTTGGCAAAAAGTTTTATTTACCTTCAAGTGACTGCATTCCAGATGATAGTGAATACACAGTTTATGGTTATAAAGGTGTCCGAATATATGTTATTTCTGATGTTCCTTGCAATATTACTTTTTATCGCGCTCTTAATATTTTAATGGAAAATCATTTTGAAGTTTATTCGAAAGGAAGACCGGAATATAAACACTATCCTGATTCGGATCCAGAGTATTCTGTTTACAATGTTACATTCGCATATTTTGATGTTGTTGCAAACTTCACACAAGGACAATTAGCTGGTGTTAAAAGTATTCAAATCTCAGATCCAAGTTATCAACTTCCTCCTGATGCAGTTGTTTATGCACCATTTTCAAACATCACAGATCTTGATGAACCTCCAAATCGCGAGATATATAGGGTGTCCAAAGGTGCGTTTAGCACAGCGCTCTATATGAGACTATTAAAGGAGATATATGCTGATTATAAATATATAATAAAAAATATGAATATATGTATATGATGAGTATGTTGTATTTTGGCGCCATGCCGGGATATAAAATGAATTTTGAGACAAGAGGCGGTTTCGCGGGAAATTTTGGCGGGATTTTTTTCATTTTTTTAATGAATCATAAAGAAAACATCCTCGCTCTTGCAAAAAAATGCAAAGACTGTAAAAAAATCTACGAGACATTGGTAAAATGCTTCGGTATGGATGCTCCTAGCTATTCCACTGTAACGTATCATGTTAGGATGTATCACTTCATGAACAAAAAGGCGCCCATCATAAAATTGACAAAAAATCGCCGGATCAAAGAAAAATCAAAGCAATTCTTCAAGCGCTAGATGAAGACCCAAGAGCATCACTCAGAAGGATAGAGGAGATGACAAAGATACCACGTACAACAGTCAGTTATTATCTGCACAATTATTTAAACTACAAACTAGCGTATACACGTTGGGTTCCGCACAACCTTAATTCAGTTCAAAAAAAATCTAGAGTCCAATCTTCGAAAGAGCTCCTCTCTATATTGGGTGCGTATCAATCCAAGAAGTTTCGCTTTTTAGTAACAGGGGACGAGTCTTGGTTTCAATATGCAACAGAAGCCAAAATCATGTGGATCCCGAAGGATGAAAATCCGCAAACATTCCCGAAGAAAAAAATTAACACACCAACGATGATGTTGTCGGTTTTTTGGGGCGTGAATGGCATCATCGCAATTGATATTCTTCAAAAACCTAATACGATGAATGCTCAGTATCTAATTGACAATGTTCTTACTCAAATTATCAATTCTGATGAGTTTGAGAAATCCAAACAACAAAAACAAAAGTTTGCAATTCATTTTGATAATTCAAGAGTTCACAAAAGTCATAAGGTAATGAATTACTTGTTGGAAAACAATGTCAAAGTTGTTCCAAACCCAATTTATTCACCTGATATTGCACCCTCTGACTTTTATTTATTCGGCACGCTAAAAAAGAGAGCTGAAGGACGCGAATTCGCGAGTCCAGATGATCTTGAAAATTTTGTAAGAGAGCAATTTGAGCAATTTTCTCATGATGATTTAAAGCGTGTCTTTGAAGCCTGGATCGATCGCTGCGAACGCGTGATTGAATCCAATGGTGATTATATTTAAATAAACTTTATATATATGTAACTTGTTTATTTCTATTCGCAGTATTCAGGTTTGTGCTAAACACACCTTTGGACACCCTATATCAACATTTGAATTTCGATGATTTTATATCATTAAATTGGGGTGACTTTGCTAAATGTTATAATGGCGTTAAATTATATGAAACACATGGTGCAGTCTTCATCATTCATAATCATGAAGAACTTGTTTTAGGTAATGGAGAAGATTGTCCTCCTGTAATATTACCAAATGGAGTTACTTTGAAACCAAAACAAGGCTCATTTAGATTAATTGCTGATTTTGTTTGGCCAACAACAGTAGATGGTACATGTGATAGATCATGGACAGAATGCAAATGTGATACATTTGATTTTGTTTATGGGTTTAAGAATAAGTATTTCCATTTCAATTATGAAAAGAAAGAGAGAAATAAAAATTTGGTTAATTGCTATGGCTTTATGAACCATGGTGGTTACAATGGCCCAAGTGAATATGAACAACAAAGTATTATAAAAAATAGCAACGATCAAATTTTTTACCTAGAAAATTATTCGGAACAATTTATACAACCAGAAAGACTTCATTCAATAATGTATCATTATCCTCCAAATCTAGGTGAATTTTTGATAGAAGAAGTTACAATTACAAATACTTTAACAGCAAATGTAGGTGTGAATGAATTTGAATGTCAGCCGTATACAATTTACAATATGTCATTCACTGGACCAAACAAGGAGCTAGTCATATTTTCAAGTGACAATATCACAATTTTTAATGATCTCATCTTTTCTCTGTATGGTACAATACCAAGGAAGGGTTATTATTTAGTATCTGTAGGACCAAATACAAAATTCCACATACACTTTGTAGTGAAATCGGATTCTTATTTTTTAAATACTCTGATTATTGCAAATGCTCAAAATCAGCAAATACCACGCGTGAAAGATTCATCTGAATTGATAACTAAACGCATCATTCCGTCATCAATTGATGTTTATATATTCGGAGATGATCCTTTGGAAGTTACATTCATGAGAGATGCAAAATCTAATGATACATTATCATACTTAAATTCGTATTATTTGGATGGTGAATTCACAGAGATGACATCAGAAAAAGAAGAATATACAGTTTTGAACACACACTTCGTTGCTTTGAAGATTAAACAACATTCACTTAAATATAATGGAATATATGGCATAAAAGAAGTTAAATACATGAATCCAAATAATCAAAAATACAATTCATTTGCTACTACATTAATCAGTTATATGGATCTTTTTGGCACATGTGATAAATGTTTAACAAAGGTTTATGTTCCAGATAAAGTTCCGGAGAAGAAGGAAGAAAACGTTCCAAGTGGTAAATATGCTATGACACCGGAAGAGGAAGATTATAAAATCGGTAAAGGCAAGTTAGTTGTTTTGAGTTATGATGCATCGTCCAAATTAGAAATCACAGCTAAGATCGGCGATCATTCCGTTGATGTTAGTGGCAAGAAGAAATCCGCCGTCCTCTTCACAGAAGAAGGATATCTTACGATCACAAACAAGAAGAATAACAACAACAATAAGAAATCACAAGTCTTCATGTACATATACGACATCTCTAATTATCCTCCATTCGACTACTGGATCTTCATCACGGGCACACCGACGATCCAAGCTAAAGATTTCGGTGTTGACAGCAAGCACTTGTTGGTAAGCGCATCGCGATCTTCGCATCTTTCTTCAAGTCGACATCGACACTGAACATCAAACTTCCTAAAGGCGCAGATGCTAAGTTCTACTCACTCGACGGTAGTGATGCAAACATCCGTCGTCACGCATCAGAAGTCGAAGACTTTGTTCAGACAGAGCCAACAGTCAGCGTCATCACACCATCATCAGAAACAGAAGTTGAACAGATCTCATTCGAGATCCACACAGAAGATTATCCAGAACTTGCTATTGAAGTTTCTGCAGTATCAGACATCAACAATATCTCTGTTATTCCAGAATCATCTCAATCACCAACACAAACACCATCATCATCAAGCGATAAGAAACTTTCAGTTGGTGTCATCATCGGCATCTGTGTTGGATCAGTTGCAATCATCGGTATCATTATTGTTGTTTCAATTATCATTGTCAAACGAAAGAAGCAATCTCGTGTCATTGCCAAAGAGGATTCGCAATCAGATCCTGAACATAGTTCTGAAACAAATAACTAATTTATTTTATTCAATTATATAATTCATGTCATAAAATGTCAACATGGTGTTTATATTTTTATTTGTTTCTAATATAAAATATCGATTTTACATAAACAAATTTTGATAAGATATTTTTTTTCAATTTTATAATTGAACAAAGTATTGACTCAAAGTATTCTTTGAGTACATTTAGATATCTTCATTTCAATTAACGATTGAATTTCGAATAGATTGTATATAATTCTAGTAGAGTTCAAATGAATGGCACCATAATCAATTCATTTGAGACAAATTCTTAACATATAGTGTTCGAACCAGATGGTAAATATTATAATAATTTCACTTTAGAATCATCTGAAATCAAAAATATCTTTTAGATTTAAAATATAGGGTGTCCAAAGGTGCGTTTAGCACAGCGCTCTATATGAGACTATTAAAGGAGATATATGCTGATTATAAATATATAATAAAAAATATGAATATATGTATATGATGAGTATGTTGTATTTTGGCGCCATGCCGGGATATAAAATGAATTTTGAGACAAGAGGCGGTTTCGCGGGAAATTTTGGCGGGATTTTTTTCATTTTTTTAATGAATCATAAAGAAAACATCCTCGCTCTTGCAAAAAAATGCAAAGACTGTAAAAAAATCTACGAGACATTGGTAAAATGCTTCGGTATGGATGCTCCTAGCTATTCCACTGTAACGTATCATGTTAGGATGTATCACTTCATGAACAAAAAGGCGCCCATCATAAAAATTGACAAAAAATCGCCGGATCAAAGAAAAATCAAAGCAATTCTTCAAGCGCTAGATGAAGACCCAAGAGCATCACTCAGAAGGATAGAGGAGATGACAAAGATACCACGTACAACAGTCAGTTATTATCTGCACAATTATTTGAACTACAAACTAGCGTATACACGTTGGGTTCCGCACAACCTTAATTCAGTTCAAAAAAAATCTAGAGTCCAATCTTCGAAAGAGCTCCTCTCTATATTGGGTGCGTATCAATCCAAGAAGTTTCGCTTTTTAGTAACAGGGACGAGTCTTGGTTTCAATATGCAACAGAAGCCAAAATCATGTGGATCCCGAAGGATGAAAATCCGCAAACATTCCCGAAGAAAAAAATTGACACACCAACGATGATGTTGTCGGTTTTTGGGGCGTGAATGGCATCATCGCAATTGATATTCTTCAAAAACCTAATACGATGAATGCTCAGTATCTAATTGACAATGTTCTTACTCAAATTATCAATTCTGATGAGTTTGAGAAATCCAAACAACAAAAACAAAAGTTTGCAATTCATTTTGATAATTCAAGAGTTCACAAAAGTCATAAGGTAATGAATTACTTGTTGGAAAACAATGTCAAAGTTGTTCCAAACCCAATTTATTCACCTGATATTGCACCCTCTGACTTTTATTTATTCGGCACGCTAAAAAAGAGAGCTGAAGGACGCGAATTCGCGAGTCCAGATGATCTTGAAAATTTTGTAAGAGAGCAATTTGAGCAATTTTCTCATGATGATTTAAAGCGTGTCTTTGAAGCCTGGATCGATCGCTGCGAACGCGTGATTGAATCCAATGGTGATTATATTTAAATAAACTTTATATATATGTAACTTGTTTATTTCTATTCGCAGTATTCAGGTTTGTGCTAAACACACCTTTGGACACCCTATAGATGCGATATTTTATGTAAAATACTCATTTATCTTTTATCCCAATAGCTGTTATCAATCAAACAAATTTTGAAAATGTAACAGTCCAGATTTCTAGCACAGCAAAATAAAATAAGCATGAGGTAGTATGATATAACTAACGTTCGAAATATCCATGTAAGCATGTTATAGACCGAAAATAGATTTTTTCGGTTTTCTCTTCAAATAATTGAAAGAATGATACTATTATAGGTTTATTATATTATATAGCATATAATCATGCTATAGCCGAAAATTATAAGTTTTGAGAAGATTGAATATAACACAAATAAATTTGAATGTAAGTTAAATTGCTTGTTGTTTTTAATAGCTATTTAATGAGAAATCCAATATTGCAAAATTCAAATTGAATGATTGAAAGAACAGAAAAAGTCATTCTTTTCAATTTCGAATATGTTTCATTGTATTTATAATTATATGGCAAATAAGATATTTAAACTTGATTTTTGAAGGAAAATTCACAAAATTGAATAAATTCAAATAATTTTTATTCAAAAATAAACTAGTTATTTGAGTTTAATACTAATTATCTATTCAAACTACAAAGTTTGTAATTTAAAATATTTTGTGAGATCAGATTGAATTAATTCAAGGTTCTTTTCAATTAATATTAATGACCATATTACGCATTTTCGAACATTCTAAACCAAATATATAAAAATGGGAGACGAATGTTAAATTTGCTAGACATGGGGGAGTTGTCTGCAAAGTTTTAGCTCTTATCTCTAACAAAAAATTAATTTTTAAAAAAATGACCGAATACGTTTCACAGCGAGAAAAAAATAAAAGGCAAGATAGAATTTTCTAGACATAAAGAAGTTGTTTACCGAGTTTTAGCTCTTATCTCTAACAAAAAATTAATTTTTAAAAAAATGACCGAATACGTTTCACAGCGAGAAAAAAAATAAAAGGCAAGATAGAATTTTCTAGACATAAAGAAGTTGTTTACCGAGTTTTAGCTCTTATCTCTAACAAAAAATTAATTTTTAAAAAAATGACCGAATACGTTTCACAGCGAGAAAAAAAATAAAAGGCAAGATAGAATTTTCTAGACATAAAGAAGTTGTCTACCAAGTGTCAGCTGTTACTTCTTCTCAATACTGATATAAAATAAAAATCTTTATTACCCAGATTTTCCTTACTTTTACCACTCCCCATGTAATTTCTGGGGAAAACGATAATTCATTTTTTTTATGGATGAATAGATCGTTTTCCTAGAAAGGACCTCATATCTCTGGCTAAAAAGAGTGTCAGATCCTAAATAGGTTATTGATCTAGTGTACAAATCCAATAAAAAGCCTATTTTTTGGCTTTTTTGGTGCTCATTTTTTCGAAGATCTACATGAATATGGGGAAACCATCGGATTTTTTTGGTTAACCCACATCTTCATGTAGTCTGGACTATCTTTCCTCGAAGGACCTCTTTACGGGTGTAAAAACTCATAAAGTTCTCAAAAGATTCATTCTCGATCTCCATGCTGAAAGAATTTACAATAAAAAAGAGATCTACGCATCAAACTACAGCCATAAGTGAACTGAACCCCTAAAGCTCAGCTCTTAGTTTATCAAAAACGTCGAAATCCTTCTCATTGCAATCAAATTTTCTCAATAACTCATAAGAAAAATCGAATTTTGATTAAGCCGATGTTATAGGTATCACAAATACTACAAACTTGAGCAATATCGAAATTGCCAGCAAAAGTTTGAAATTGCATTGCTTATATTTGTTTTGTAAACTAAAAATCTGCTTATATTATTCATTAATTTTTTATATATTATTCATATACTTTAATAAAAACAATACTATTTCACCTTAAAAATGAATTTCATAAGTCAATATTATTTTTTTGAAAATGTATCAATTTTCGATTAAAACAACATGAGAATAAAATTTACGCAAAATTATTTTAAAAAATGGTTTTAAAAATTTACAATTGATTAAGAATAAGATTGGAAGAAGTTTTGAAGTTTAATTTTAAGAAAAAAAATTCGGATATTATTCATGGATCTAAGTAATCTGATATTTGAGTATCGGCACTATGCATAAAACATATATTTATAGTTTTTTTGGATTTTTATGATTTTAAATATATTCAAATTTGGCAATCCAATAGATTTTTAAAAAATAGGTAAATAAAAATAGATTACATATGCAGCAGATTTAGAATATGAAACAAATCTTATAGTGACCCAAAAAAAAATTCATGATCCAAAAAAGAAAAAAATTGGCTAGATGGGAATCAAACCTTGGCATAATGAATCATTATGTCGGATGTTTCCACTACACTACACCAGCAGTTCGAAAAATACCCTTGGTGGTTCTATTTAATAGCTACTCCCAACGATAGGCGGTGTCCCCAGCTTTAGAGGGGTGGTAAAAGTAAGGAAAATCTGGGTATTTATTTAACCTTTATTGTTTCATTAAACTTCATTTATTTTATATTATAGTTTTATTCTTTTAGCTACTTGTAAAATAATCTAATTTTATATCATCATTTTACCGGATTATTCTTCAGTACATCGATTGTGTATCTAAAATAATATCATTATCCTTATTCTGTTTTTTCCAAAATTCTTTTAAATATCTTTTTTGGTTAGATTACTTTATACTTTTTACTTTTATTTTTTAATTTCAAAAAAAATTTGGTGATTGTTCTATTCTGTTACAATGTGCATTATCATATTCTAATGAATTATTCATTACATACATTTAAAAAAACTTGTTAAAAATGAAATTAAAAAATTATGTTTATTATTACGCTGTGAATGTGTCAACAGCGGTCATGCCTGTATCTGTATCCCATATTTGCCACAACCTTTCTGTATCTGCATTTGTGTATTTCGGTTTTAGCTGATACATTTGATTTGGCGTGTAATTTGTTCCAGTTAATGGATTAATTGGGAGATCTTCATGCGGTGTGTTATTATTGTACTCCCAAATAAAGGCAGGAATAGCCTGAATGCTTTGGCAGCGCTCCAATGTCGGCCAGAATCTCTCAATCTTCCCATTTTGGTAGGGAGAATGAGAGTCTGTATGCCGCCATTGGACGCCCCAAAGATCAAGTAGATCTTGAAAGGCGCCCCTATTTTCTGAACCGTTGTCGGTCCAGAAACAATAAGGGGCGCCAAATTCAATGAAGGCGGAAGCCGCAACGTTCGCTGTCGTCGCTGCCAGCATATCTTGTATTTGTATACACGCTAGGACTTTGCGGCTAAAATCGTCGATTATGCCATAAATATACTGGCCACGAACACCCCTAAAATAATGAACATCTGCGTGCCAGATAAGATTGGGTGAAAGCGCCCAATATCTTACTGCTGTTTCTGGCCCGGCATGCTCTAATCGCGTCTTGGTGAAATGATTTTCTTTGAAGTATCTGCGTACTTCTCTATAAGATACATCAATTTGTTGTAATTTCAAACGTTTCCATTGTTTTGTTTGACCACAGGGAAAGGCCCAGTGGTCATGTATCACAGCAAGAGCTTTGATTTGGTCGTAGGGATTGACCCTACGACCTTTCTTGCCTTTAGGCAATGGGATATTCTGTAAGCTAAATTGATTTTGTAAAAAAGATTTTGAAACATCTAAATATTTGAAATCATTTGATTGAAGGGTTGGGGCGATGGGAACATGGGTGCAAGCTTCTTCCCATGTCATTTTACCTTCTTCAATCTGATTGGAAATACCAATTAGGTAAATTCGATCGACATACCCTTTGTAAGGATTCATTCTAATGAAGTACGTTAACAATCAAAATATTCTATAAGTGTCTAGTATGGAATTCAAAAGAATAAAGAAAATGGTAACGTAAATAAACGTATTATGAAATAATTTATAATTAAAATGAAAAAAAGAAAAAATAATAAGTAAAGTGACTGGAAATGAAAATTAAAATCAGTGTACAGTTTTATTTTTTTCTCGCTGTGAAACGTATTCGGTCATTTTTTTAAAAAATTAATTTTTTGTTAGAGATAAGAGCTAAAACTCGGTAAACAACTTCTTTATGTCTAGAAAATTCTATCTTGCCTTTTATTTTTTTCTCGCTGTGAAACGTATTCGGTCTTTTTTTTAAAAATTAATTTTTTGTTAGAGATAAGAGCTAAAACTCGGTAAACAACTTCTTTATGTCTAGAAAATTCTATCTTGCCTTTTATTTTTTTCTCGCTGTGAAACGTATTCGGTCATTTTTTTAAAAATTAATTTTTTGTTAGAGATAAGAGCTAAAACTCGGTAAACAACTTCTTTATGTCTAGAAAATTATATCTTGCCTTTTATTTTTTTCTCGCTGTGAAACGTATTCGGTCTTTTTTTTAAAAATTAATTTTTTGTTAGAGATAAGAGCTAAAACTCGGTAGACAACTTCTTTATGTCTAGAAAATTCTATCTTGCCTTTTATTTTTTTCTCGCTGTGAAACGTATTCGGTCATTTTTTTAAAAATTAATTTTTTGTTAGAGATAAGAGCTAAAACTTTGCAGACAACTCCCCCATGTCTAGCAAATTTAACATTCGTCTCCCATTTTTATATATTTGGTTTAGAATGTTCGAAAATGCGTAATATGGTCATTAATATTAATTGAAAAGAACCTTGAATTAATTCAATCTGATCTCACAAAATATTTTAAATTACAAACTTTGTAGTTTGAATAGATAATTAGTATTAAACTCAAATAACTAGTTTATTTTTGAATAAAAATTATTTGAATTTATTCAATTTTGTGAATTTTCCTTCAAAAATCAAGTTTAAATATCTTATTTGCCATATAATTATAAATACAATGAAACATATTCGAAATTGAAAAGAATGACTTTTTCTGTTCTTTCAATCATTCAATTTGAATTTTGCAATATTGGATTTCTCATTAAATAGCTATTAAAAACAACAAGCAATTTAACTTACATTCAAATTTATTTGTGTTATATTCAATCTTCTCAAAACTTATAATTTTCGGCTATAGCATGATTATATGCTATATAATATAATAAACCTATAATAGTATCATTCTTTCAATTATTTGAAGAGAAAACCGAAAAAATCTATTTTCGGTCTATAACATGAAACAATCTGAACTTCAAAGATTGAAAAATTGAAATTGGTAATCTGGATAATATTATCATATACATGGCACTCTATCATTTCCCTCAATATTCCTAATTGAACGCATATATGAACACTCATCCTATGTAATCCATTGAATTTATTTGAGACAATATTCATAATTTTTTAGTATGGGTTACATAAAAAAATTTAAAATAAAGGCGAATAAATGAATTTAAAGGACCTGAAAATCCCGACTAAATGCAGCGATATGATCAACACATATCAAGCATATTATCAGGATTTCTATATGGAAATGGTCCACATTAGTAATTCGTCCTTAAATGAACACGTAGAAGAATTTTTATCTTACATTCAATCAATCACCACGAGTCCAGCAATAGACGATATCATGAGAGCTGCCATGGGTGTTACTTGCCTTCATGAATTTGGCTATGATAACTTTCCTAGGCTTGTCAGAATTTTTGATCGTCTAATTCCTCAAGTTGATTATGAATACGTTAAGTTTACAAGTTGGTGTGCCGGTAAACTAGTTGTTCACCCTGGTTACGAGCAATCGCGTTACGTCACTCACTTATTTGAGAGAATTATTGGATGGATTCGAGCCAGAGGAAGGCGCTCTCGACATCTTGCTGCTGTTTGCATGCTCGAACAAATCTCTTTAAACGCCGGTACTGATGTTGTTCCTTTCTTAATGCAATTACAACCCGCAATCTGGACATTAATTTCACATCCTTCAATGAGATTAATTGATGAGACAGCCAAAGCAATCAGCCGTTATACTCGTGCTATTTTACGTTACAGGCGTCTTGATATTGATAATTATCTTGGCTTCTTGACATCGTTGTCAACAAAACTTTTATCTCTAGACAATCCAACAAAGACATACGCTGGATTGAAGCTCATTGAGTCTCTGATCGAAAGTTATCCGGATTATTTTATTCCATCATTAGAAGAAATACATTATTTAATTACAGATACAACTACCAATAGGCCAATACTTGTCAAAAACGAGATGTTTGTTGCAATATCTTATTTGGCTCTCGTTGATCCAAAACAATTTTCTGAAATTGCCTCAGATTTATTTGATAACATAGAGGAAATCATTGTCGAATTCCCATCATCAATAGCAGAAGCAATTTACAAACTATGCCAGAACGCTCCTGACTTTGTAAAAAACAAAATTGATTTAATCAAGAGTTTAGCACCGAAAATACTATTCGATATTGATAGCGTATGCACATTATTAAGAGCTTTACTCGACGCATTCGATATTGAAGCACTTCCTATCAGTGAAGTCTTAATTAAAGAAATTTTAGACCAGCCATTCTCAGAATCAATCAACTCATTCATCGTATCTCTTGCCAAGGCCATGGACAAAGACATGCCATCATGGTTAATCAAGAATATCCATCAGAAAATTATAAATGAATATCAATCGAACACTTTACTCGTTTTGAACCTCATTTCCCTACTTCCTTCGAACGCTATTTACGATGCCAAGGGAATAATGAACCTTGTTTCAGATTCAAGCCCTGTAGCAAGTTTACAAGTCCGAAAACTGGTTCCGAACGCGATTTTCAACGTGGCCATGTCTTCAAATAACCAGAGGTTTATGGACGAAACGGTTCAGAAGATTTTCCAGCTTGCAATTTTCGATCCATCAAATGAGGTCCGTTGTTCGATCTTAAATGTCCTTAAAGACAATCCTTCGAAGGAACTCGCCTCACCAGCATCAATCAAATTCCTCCAGCTCTTTTCTAACGACGATTCTACCTCTGTCAAAACTTTGGTATTTAAGACGATCGCGGAGTTAGGAAAACTCAATCCTTTGTACGTATCGAATATTACAAGGCATTCAATATTAGAGCATTTATATATCATCAAAAACGATCCTGATGTCAGATTAAGAGCGAGAACTGTAAAAACATTGCCAGATTTGATCAAAGCTGCCTCATTTTCAGGACAGATCTACGCAAAGCCATTCATGGACATCGCAATTGAGATTTTGTCCCGTCCATTAGAAAAAGATCAAATTGAGAACTTTTTAGACAGAAATGGACAGACAAAGATCATCATTGGCATCATTGATTCCATTGCGTTGATGGCACCAGTCGCTCCAGACGTTGTTTCCAGTTATGCAACAACATTAATTCCAATTCTTGGCGAAAAGCTCTCACCAAACGAGGACAGAATGTTAATTCTTGCTATCATGCACTTATTCTTCGTCCTTTTGTCACCACCAGCCTCAACACTCCAGTATCGCGTGATGACACCTTACATTTTACAGTGTTGCTCACAGTTTCTTGCACAAACACAGTCCAGAAAGTGCAGAATGGCCACTCTCCGTGTCATTGGCGCAATAGGTATCTTGGAAGTCCATCAAAGACCACCTCCAAAGAACACACAAGCTCCGAAGAACATAAACGAGACACTGGCCAGGGAGTTTTTCACTTTTTCAAGGGATATCGATGAATCCTTTGACGATACATTGTTGATCAACGAACAAACATGGGATCAGCTGTATTCTACAGTAGTTGCGAATGTTCTCTTGAAGGTATTGGATGACGAGAGCCTCAAAGAAATGTATCCTGATACTTGCCATGCATTGTGCCAAGTTTTAGGAAACATTAAAATGTATATGTTGTCTCAGTTCGACCAATTCTTCGATAAGATATTAACAATATTGGAGAACAGCAACGAGAACGATCTAGGATTGTATTTACCTGTTGTTTCAGACTTAATTACGATGAGTACACTTAATTGCTCTCCTTTTGTCGAAAGAACGCTCAAGATATTGATAACTAAGTTTAACGATAAGGATTTACTCCAGATTTTGGACATAATTGTAAGTTTCGTTACAGTTTTGAAGGATGGTTTCGCTCCTTACGCTTCTTTGGTAATTTCTCTGATGGTTCACTCACTGGAGAGGTTCAAATCGACCAATTTGAGTATTTCCTCCAAGATTTTGGAGGCATTTTCCGAAATTGGCATTTATGCAAGCGATTTGAACTACTTAATCATACCGCAGATCAGTGATGTTGTAATTTCAGAGCATGTTCTTATGCCAGTTCGTGTTTCCGCCATATTAAGTATCGATAAATTAGCTTCATCTGTTGATTTGTACTACTATTTAGGTTCAATCATCAGAGCAGTCAACTACGGATTGGGCTCCAAAGATGCTGTTCTCACAGAAAACACTCTAAAGGTCATTATGACGTTACTTAAAACTCAAGGAAAGAAGTTCCTCATAAATTCAATGACCTTATTCAATTTTATGAAGATCAGCGGTTTCTCAGAAAATAAAGAATTGCAAAAATGCATCCAAGAAGCAGAAACAATAGAGAACTTTACTCCTATTATCAAAGTACAGAGTATTAACAAGAATTACAAAAAAGTTACTCATATTTTGAGCCAAGATGCGATAGTTGCCAGAGCAATGACACCTGCATTAGGCCATGGCCGCCACTTAGAAGAATGGCTGCATTCCTTCATCATTTCATGCATATCCAGTTCACCAAGCAAACAAATCAGAGTTTGCACGAACCTCGCGACCAACTACCACAAGTTGGCCATTGCCCTGTTCAAGATTGCCTTCTTCAGCTGCTGGCAAGAGATAAATGAAAGTGGAAGACAGACAATAACATCTTCTTTCCACGAAATCTTGCTTACTTCTGATGCCCAAGACAGAGTTGCCTCAACAATCATGGATCTCATCTTCTTCATGTCGAAATTTGAAAATCCGATCAAACTTCCTGTCAAAGATTTGACATTTTCAGCTTTGAGATTCGGTTCAAATGCCTTTGCTCTCTGTCTTCTACAGGATTCTTTCAATAACGACACAACAGTTGACCCTGGATCTTGTGTTGTCCAGTTAATTGACACTTACTTGAGCTTGGGAGACTGGGACAACGCTGCCGGTGTTTGGACATTGTACAAGACAAAGACTCCAGGGCTAGAAATCAACGATACAATGGCTAAATTGAAGATGTGGGACCAAGTTCTTCCTTTGTACAAGAGAAAGTACGAACAATACAAGGACAACCAGTCCTTGAGTGGCATGATCAGAACAATGTCACACATTGGACTTTGGAACGAAATGATTCCTCTCAAGAAAGATTTCGACCAAATGAACAGAAGTGTCAAAAGAGAACTCGCTCCATACTTCTCTAGAGCCGCATTCAGTCTTGGAAAATGGGACATTCTCGAGGAAGTCAGCCAGTACAATCCAGATGACAACATCCACATGATGCTATTAGATGCTTTACAGGATATAAAGAAAGGAAATTACGACATCGACCAGAAAATTACTAATTGCTGGTCAACATTGGCATCTAGACCTATAACATTCTGGGCAGACAACTTGCAAATACATAGAGAAACAATGTTGATTGCACAGCAGATTGTAGAAGTTTTGGAAATCAGAGATTGGGCGAAGAATCCGAACATGAGAGAAGAAATTGAAAGTGTTTGGCTGCAGAGGATGAGAACAGCACCAAGAGATTTCGAATTGTGGTTCAGAATCATTACAAACAGATTCTCAATCACACAGAAACACGATGAACTGTTTTTGAATCTCTTCCAAATGAAATCAAGTCAAATGGGAACAAAAATGAATTCAAATGTATTCAATTCTATATTCCCTGACTTAGATTTCAAGCTCAGCCCTGATATCGACAGACTCTGCTTCGTAATAAATCACTGGACAACAGGAGAAAAGAAAAAAGCTCTTCTCGAAATGAAAAATTTGACAGAAACCGTCAAAATAGAGAAATTATCCAGCGAATGCCACTCATTCTACGCAAGCTGGAGAATAGAACTCGATGATTCCTGCGACGCATTATTAGATGCTTACGAACATTTCAAGAAAGTTCCTGTAATTAACAGTTTAATCCAAAATTCAAAGAAAAGTGATAGCAGAAGTAAATACCGACTTACCAGATTTAGTTCTAGTGCAGGCGGACTTTACTTACCATCGACTGTTGTCAAATCATTGGAATACCAAGTCAAAGACATCAACAACCTGAGAAAATGGTCGAATGTCAACATAGAACTCATCACGAAAGATCCAATGAGAACAAACAAATACGTGATGAACGCGATATCCGCTTTGAGCCAATTATGTACAATATCACCAAGTTTCACTGATGTCGTACAAATTCTCAATTTATTCTTCGAACACGCGGAAGAAACAGAAGTTTTCGACCAAACGAAACAAATCATCACAACTGTTGAACCGAAATTGTTATTACAGGCATCATCACAAATCTTAGTTCAACTGAACCATCCATCGAAGAACGTCGCCCAATTCGTTCACCAGTTGTTACTAAATCTTTTGGAAGAGCACTACCACGCGTTGATTTTCTCTCTGATTGTAAACAGAGACAGTAAAAATCAAAGTAGAGCTCAGGCATCGAGAGATTTGTATGAAGAGTTTAGTAACAAACATCCGGAAGAATCGAATGAAGTCATTGAAATAAGAAAGTGTTTGTTGAGAGCTGCTGTTACTTGGTATGAGAAATCTCTTCAGAAGATTTCAGATGCATTTGATAATTACTCATTACAAAGGATTGATGCAATGATTGTTTGTCTGCAAAAAATCTTAAAAATGTCTAAGAAACCGAAGTGCGAATTACACAATCAGTTTCTTAAACAATACTCGAATCAGTTGAATAATCTCGAGAAGTTATTGAACAGTTTCGATCCACACAATCAAAACATGTTGAATAACATCTCTCAATGGTGCAGATTGATGCAGGACAGCATTTCCGAGGATATCAGGAAAGTTAAGATAATTCGGCTGTCCAGTTTGTCGCAGATAGGAAATAAGACTCATTTCAAACTCGCTGTCCCTGGAACATATAAACCAGGAAAGAAAATCATAAGAATTGAGTATTTCGTTGGCCAATTCAATGTCTACATGTCTAAACAACAACCAAAAGATGTTGTTGTAAGAGGCGAAGATGGCAATTTCTATCAGTACCTCGTGAAAGGACATGAAGATTTGAGATTGGATGAAAGAGTCATGCAGTTCTTCCATTTGGTCAATTCTTTCATTAAGAAAGAAACTTCATTTGGCGGACAAATCATCTCAACAATGTCTGTTATTCCTCTCTCTATTCAACACGGTTTAGTTCAATGGGTAAGAGGAACAGACACATTGAGAGGAATTGTTGAGAACTACAGAAGACTCTACGAAACAGATCCAATGATTGAATACACTCTCCTGGAACAATTAAGTCACCAGGCTTATGATTACATGCTGCCAATCCAGAAACAACAAATTATTGACAAAGTTTGTTCGTTAACTCCTGATACAGACATTGCACAGTTATTCCAGTTGAAAGCGGAGTCATCAAATGTCTGGTTGAAGCAGACAAGGACATTCGCTATGACTGCTGCTATTACATCAATCGTTGGATACATAATTGGCCTTGGAGACAGACATCCAAGTAATTTGTTGATTGATAGATTGACAGGTAAAATTGTCCACATCGATTTCGGTGATTCGTTTGAGAAAGCTGCGAAAAGAAAATTCCTTCCTGAAGTTGTTCCGTTCAGATTGACAAGGATGATGGTCAAAGCAATGGGTGTTGCTGGTGTTTGCGGTGCTTTCAGAACAACATTCATCAATTTGGCTCAGTTGTTGAGAGACAACAGAAGAGTTTTAGTCATGGTTCTTTCGATTTTCGTGCACGAGCCATTGGTTGATAATGAAGATAACAATGACTACAAGAACAACGGAGAAACTCATGTTGTTGATGTAGTTCAGCAGGGATCTTCAATCATCGACAAAGGAAGATTGATTTTGGCTGACAACGCTTCTCAACAAAGTTCAATCGAAATGAGAAACAGAGTCAACCAAAAACTCTCTGGAATGGACTTCGACAACAAAGTTCCGTTGACTGTTGAGCAGCAGGCTGACATGCTCATCTCGTTGGCAACAAGCAGATACCAACTCGCAAAGATGTACAGCGGTTGGTGCCCATTCTGGTAATTTATTTATATTTTTTTATATTATTTCTTTTTTTTATATTATTTATTTTTTTAAAAAAGGATATTTTTAAAAATATAATAAGGTATTTGTCTAAGATATAAAAAGTTTGATTACATATGTAATAATTAGAACAGATGTAATCATGAATTCTCTCATAATGTGTTGATCGTCTCCAAACCTTACACTCCTACTATCTAATTAATGACTCAATGGATTAATAATCACTTTAACCAAACAGTGTAGGTGCAATGATATTTGAAATTTTTCCAGTAATGATACTTGTAGGAGGTGAAATACTTCCATAATAGTGAGACCACACACTTGCTAGTTCTTCACTGCTATGGAGTATCAGTAGGTATTCTTGATTTCGGAAATTGGCGACGAATTTTTCTCTTCTTTGAAAAAAGTCTCAATTCAATAAAAACATCTCATACCAAATCCACAGTTCATGCATATCTTTTCATATCATATCGATTCGTTCGAACTTAGTTAACACCCTGCTCACATGTAGAATCTATATCTCCTGAATTGTTTCAGATTAACGATTAATCTTATCATTAATTTCCTTTCCAACACATCTAACTTGTTTTTCATTGTATCAGAAGAATTTGTTGGCTCAAGTCCATTCTTTTCATCAAAAATAGCTGTGTTAACACAATTATCCAAGAAATGAAATTTATAAAAGCCGTGAAACTTTGAGCAATTTATGAATTTATCACAAATTACGTAATTAAAACAATCTTTATCCTAAGAATATAATGAATCCGTTCAAAAAAATATTTGATCAAGACAAATTTGATGAAATGAATCATTTCTTTCATACAAAATAATATGGATTTGAAAAACATGCATTAATTTTTAATCTAAATGATGTTTGGTCATTAATAATTTGGTTCGCAAAATGAACCACTTAATATAAATTGATTCACACCAAAAACAAATTTAACACTTGTAAGCATACTGCTTATTACGTTAAACTGTTCAGGGAAAGAGGAAACAAAAAATTATTTCTTGAACATAATCGAGAACAGCCATAATTTGTTTACAAATTGTTGTAAACAGAAATTCATCAAAAGTGACACCCCAGAAAAGCTAAAATATTGAATTTTTGGAACTTTTGATAGAGCACGTTTTTAAATATTAATTAAAGTAAATGTATATTTTGTAAAGATTCTTTTTAATCAAAAAATAAAATTTTGAAGAAGAACACAAAATCTTCTGAAAAATAATATCACATAAACTCATATTATTTTCTAATATATAACTATTTTATATAAAAATCAAATTCAATGATCTTAAAAGCGAAGGATAAACCTCAAAATTTACGAATATAATGAGTGGGAATATAATGCTTATCTATCATAAAACCATATGAAATATCAATTTTTGCTTTACGCCTAATTTTTGACGACAATTAGCAAAAAATGTTAAATGTTAACACTCAGTCCATTTGAATATGAAAAATAAAATTGACTTTGATTAAATTTTTTATTTATCATGCAATTCTTCTTGCGACCAAAGATTTGAATAAAATTTCAAAAAAAAAGATAGCTTAAAAAATAATATACGGTAGTGTTTACTAATAGATGAATAGTATATAAATTCTATTAAAATGGATTTGATCCAAAAAAATATAAAACCAAAAATAATTGTTATAATTTAAATGAAGAAGTAATTTAAAACGATTTTATTTATGATCAAATTTTATATATTTTTTTGGATCAAATCCATTTTAATAGAATTTATATACTATTCATCTATTAGTAAACACTACCGTATATTATTTTTTAAGCTATCTTTTTTTTGAAATTTTATTCAAATCTTTGGTCGCAAGAAGAATTGCATGATAAATAAAAACATTTAATCAAAGTCAATTTTATTTTTCATATTCAAATGGACTGAGTGTTAACATTTAACATTTTTTGCTAATTGTCGTCAAAAATTAGGCGTAAAGCAAAAATTGATATTTCATATGGTTTTATGATAGATAAGCATTATATTCCCACTCATTATATTCGTAAATTTTGAGGTTTATCCTTCGCTTGTAAGGGTGGCTTCCGACCAAATTGTCACTTTTTAGCCCAAGTGAGAAAATTTCGTAATTTATAACCAAGTTTTTTAAAATCTATATTTAATAAAGATTCTATTTTTCTTATTAAATTTCAAAAATGAGGGGGTTCGGAATCGTCCACAAATTGCCGAAAGGGTTTTTGCCAGTTTTGAATCCGCTTATTTTTATCGACCAAAATTATAATAAATATAATTTTCGATAAGTATTCTACCCAAATGATTATTCAAAAAATTATTTTTCGGATTTTATTCCGTAAAAAAACGTTACAGAAAACGCCTATAAAATTTCGAATTTTCCCTAAAAAATTCAGTGCAGGTCGATTTAAGAGATTTTTCAAAAATAATCATATCAATAGATAGGGTATAATATAGAGAAGCTTTATGAATAACTTAAAATCCGGGAAACTCAATATTCAACGAGAAAAACGCTTAACGAATCTCACTTTTGGTGTAAACATCACAAAAAATTGAGAGGGCTTTCTGGTCGGAAGCCTCCCTTAAGATCATTGAATTTGATTTTTATATAAAATAGTTATATATTAGAAAATAATATGAGTTTATGTGATATTATTTTTCAGAAGATTTCATTCTATATGCCTATGAAAAGTACTCTCAAAACTAACGTTTTCCTAATTATAATTAAATCTAGAATAATGTATTATGCTTAGTATTATTTCATTTTTCTCATTCAATTTAGAATTTACAAATGTCAAAAAATTGAGAACTGTCACTTTTGATGAATTTCTGTTTATTACACAAATAAGCATAACTAATTGATACAAGATTGTTCTATGAAGCAAATTCTAGGCTTATTAAAACTTTGATCGAGGGTGATTCGTTTTTAATCTTGAAAAACAGTATACCATAAATATTCATATTATGATGATTAGAGGATTTTAAAAGGTTTAATTTTCCTATGTGTGGTCGATTTTAGTGCCATCGGCATTGAATTTTTAGCGTCATTGAATTTTTTAATAAGATCAATTGAAATTTTGAGAGTTCACAAAACACTATTGAAATCTTGAGATTTCATTTGTCCTGTATATCTAAGCATGATAAGATAAGATTTTTGTTTTTCAAGAAAGTGAGTTATCAAACTTTTCCAATAATGTAAAGTGATTTTCTCGCATAGAATTGAGTCATTTTCTTATCCATTATCATATGAACATTTCACTTACCATTTAAGAAAACGATAAACAAGGGGTTCCATTTGAATCTCTGAAATTGAGCGGGAAAAATAATATTCAATGAGTTCCCTGAAAAAATTTGAGACCCGAGAATTGATTATCGTATTCGATCAAGTCAGTTCATTTTTCAAGTTATGGGACGTTTCACACTTCCTCGCGACTTATACCACGGTAAGGATGCTCTTGCTAACCTCAAGAACCTCAAGGGCAAGAAGGCAATCGTTGTTTGCGGTGGCCACGCCATGCAGAAATGCGGATTCCTCGACAAGACAGTTAACTACCTCAAGGAAGCTAAGATGGAAGTTCGTGTCTTCGAAGGTGTTGAACCAGATCCATCCGTCGACACAGTCATGCGCGGTGCTGAAGAGATGAGAAAGTTCCAACCAGATTGGATCGTTGCCATCGGTGGTGGTTCACCAATCGATGCTGCTAAGGCCATGTGGGCTTTCTACGAGCACCCAGAGGTCACATTCGAATCCCTCTGCATTCCATTCAACTTCCCACATCTCCGTACAAAGGCTCACTTCTGCGCCATCCCATCCACATCCGGCACAGCTACAGAAGTTACAGCCTTCTCTGTCATCACAGACTACAAGAAGGGCATCAAGTACCCACTTGCTGACTTCGAAATCACACCAGATGTTGCCATTGTCGATCCAGCTCTTGCTGAGACAATGCCACCAAAGCTTGTTGCTTTCACAGGCATGGATGCCCTTACACACGCTATCGAAGCCTACGTTTCAACACTCCACTGCGATTACACTGATGGCCTTGCTCTCCACGCTATCAAGATGATATTCGAGAACCTCAAGAACTCATACGACGGCAACATGACAGCTCGTGCTTCAATGCACAACGCTCAGTGCCTTGCTGGTATGGCTTTCTCCAACGCCCTCCTCGGCATTGTCCACTCAATGGCTCACAAGACAGGTGCTGCTTTCACAGGCGGACACATCGTTCACGGCTGCGCTAACGCCATGTACCTTCCAAAGGTCATCAAGTACAACGCTAAGAACGCTGAAGCTCTCGAGAGATATGCTTACATCGCCAGATTCGTCGGACTCCAGGGCAAGGATGATACTGAACTCACAGACAAGCTCATCGAGAAGATCCGTGCTCTCAATGTTTCATTGAACGTTCCACTTTGCGTCAAGAATTACGAAGGCGGCATCATTGACGAGAAGGAATACCTCGCTAAGCTCCATGATGTTGCTAAGAACGCCATTGGTGATGCTTGCACAGGTTCTAACCCACGCCAGCCAACACAAGAAGAAATGGAGAAGCTTCTCCTCGCTGTTTACTATGACAAGGAAATTGATTTCTAAGTCTTTTAATTTTCTTTTCATCTATCTCCTAAAATATATATATTTCTAAATTTACTTACTTTTTAAGTTCAGAAAGGTTTGAATTCATATTCTACTTCATTAATTCAATTTGAATTCAAATAAATTATCATATTTTATTTATCATATGGTTTCACAATGAAACAGCAATCTTATAATTTCCATAGTGAAAGGTTTAAATTCCAATATTATTAAATATTTTATTGAAAATAGAACTCATTCTTAAATTTCAAGCATATGTATCACATTACCAAATTAGGTTTTGATACCGCTAGTGGGGAATCCCTTAAACTAATGAAAGATTGAAGTTTATAAAATATGAAATATTATGAAGGGTTTTGGAGAATCCTCGATAAACTTCCAAACTTAAATCCATAAATTAGATTATTAGACCATTTTCGAAAAACAGAACTTCTAATCTTACACATTTTTGACTGCTGCGTAAATTAAGTGGGTAAGAACGATAAACATGAGATTTGAAATCCGAAAACTTTTTTTACATTGATAATAATTATAAATGGGACGTCATGATTAAAAGATTATTTCTTATTGTGGGGATCAAATCAAGATTTTTTTTCAGAATTATTAACACCAATATAGCCACATGACTAATACATTTTATCGAAAGCTTGATATATTCAAATTGAATTCATTTTCAAAATTCAATTCTCTCAATACTTCGGATAATATTTCCTTTTTCTTATTTTGATTTTATACACTAAAGTAATGAAATTATAAAGTTATTGTTTTGTAAAGTAATTATTTTTTGAATTCAAAAGTATAACTCACAGTAGTGAAATTTACATGGTTTTTAAATGCTACATTATTATAAAATTATTCATAAGATTTCTATTTTATCAAAATCTTTGTTGTCTTTTTTTAAAAGAAATATTGAATGTTTAGATTTATCCTTACATGTAAATAATTATATTGATTATCATGTCAATAATTTTGAAGGAGTTTTTAAATTGAGATGAATTCTTTACAAAAATATATATGTTTCCTTATCCAGACGTTATCCCTCAGATTCAAAAACTTTATTCAGTTTACGAGAATCTTTGGAATATAGATACCACAAACTACGAACTGGGACAGAATCGATTAATTCTCCCTATAGTTCCAGAACAATTATTAAATGATATCTGCCGAGGAGTTAATACCATCGTATTAAGCGAGCCTGTCGTTCTTAGGCTCAATGAAAAATGCATAGTTATTGGAGATCTTCACGGTCATATTTTAGATTTATTCAGAGTTTTAAAGAAATTCGGCCCACCTCCAAAAACAACATATATTGTTCTCGGCGACATTGTAGACAGAGGCGATTTCAGCTTAGAGACTGTTACAGTCCTTTTCGTTTTAAAGGCTTTATATCCGCAAAATATTTATATAATTCGCGGCAATCACGAATTCGCTGCCATGTTCCAGTATAACGGATTTTCCAAACAGTTAGATGAAATGTATGGCAATCATTTAGTTACCTATGCTTTTGCTAACGCTTTTGCTTGTCTTCCTATGGCTATCCTTCTATTTGACAAGATTTTTTGCGTTCATGGCGGCATAGGTGAAGGATTTACATCGATATCGCAGCTTGAAAACATTCAAAGACCAGTTGTAAACTACATTAACGATCCAGTAATCAGTGCTGTATGGAGTGATCCTTCTTTAACTCTAGAAGAAGGTTTTGCACCTTCGTCACGCGGAATCGGCTTTTTCTTTAGCGAAAAAGAGTTTAATAAGTTCATGGATTCTCAAAACTTGAATCTTTTCGTAAGAGGCCATGAACCATGCGAAACAGGAGTACAATTTATATTCGGCGGGCGCTTTGTTACAGTTTTTGGAGCAAGCAATTACTGTAATGCGATGAATAACAAGTCCGGAGTGCTTCATATCCAAGATGGAGATAAATGGTCGACGACATTATTTGGTCCTCTTAAATATATCAACAGAAGTAATGCAATTTTCTCAGAATGCGATAATAACGAAAATTATTCCATTTCATTATCATCAAAAGGCTTCAAAACTCAGAAATCATTACCAATGCTTTCAAAGCCTACCAAAGTCCAACCAAGAAGAAATTCCGAAGCATCTCCTTTATTGAAGAGATCAAATTCAGCTTCGAGGAACAGTTTAAGACTGGCAAGCCCACACAAGCTTTTCTCGTCTACTCCTGACCTTTCTTTCCATGATGATACTTGTCATTCTCCTTTAGTTTCGATGACCGACTCTTTCATCATTTCGCCCAATGGAAAGAGGATATCTCCTCTACATAAGTGATTTTTTTGTTTAATTAATCATTTATTCATGTAAATGTTAATTATTTATGTTTTTTAATAATCAGCATCATTTTTTGGGTAATTATAATTACTTATCCTGAATATTACTCATTATCAAATCATTTTTGAAGTATTTATGGATATCAAATATAAATGAATTATTCCGATATCGAGTTTTTATAAATTTGTCGATGTTATATATAATATATGCTGTGGAGTGATTAATGATTATATTATTTTTCTAGTATTTTCCAATATTAAAATCAAATTTAAAAATTTCCAATTTTAAATCGTATCACATCGAAGATACGTATTTGGTAACTATCTATACAATAAAAAATGGAATTAAAGATGTTAAAGTAATGAATTCGTTTGACTTTTTCAAGCTATGAAAACTTGACAAATTTTAAGATTGTAAATAATTGAAAACTATCTATTGAATAGTAAATCACAAAAGTAAAAGATACCAAATTTAAAATGTGCGTAATGGTTTACAAATTAATATTCTAAAGATTTGTGAATATCAAAATATTTACCCTACACAAAAGAACGATTTTTTCTTTAAAAGTTTTTTTAGTATACACAAGAATTTCCTTCATTTCGAAGAAATAAAATTTCCGAATATAGCACTAATGAAAAACTAATTACAAAATATTACATTGAAATTTGAATAAGAATAGAAAACTAAACTGTATGATGATTTAGATGTTAATTGGAATCAATAAATTGTTTGTATCAAAATTATCAAGGAACCAACTAGCATATTTCGCTTTTGATTGAAAGAGGCACGTTTTTAATCTTCACAACTTTGAGATTCTCACAAAATTGGTTTGAATACATTCTATGAAACTATTTATCCCCAATGAAGTAGATAAAGATATTAAATATTACTTTAAATCTCTTTAAAACATATGAATAACGAATCATAAAAAATTATCATTTTTCAAGTTTCAAATCAAAAAGGATGAAATCATGAAAAAAATTATGGATTATTACATTTTTATCATTAATGGGATGCTAGATTAGAATTAAACAATGAAATTGGTTAACCAGAAAAGGAAGATTGGGGTATTATTATTGTCGTCTGGCGGTTTTAGACGACAATGCGAATTTTCAAATAATAGGATTTTTAGCCAGATAAAGAGCTACTCCATATATCATGCGTGTTTGCATACTATATACATAGATGGAATTGATGTTCTTCCTTTATTTAGGTACCGAAACATGCTTGAAAAATCTATTTTTTAGACGACAATGATAATTTTGTCACTTTTCCAGACGACAATAATAATTTGTCACCTTTTTAGACGACAATAATAATTTTGTCACTTTTTCCAGACGACAATAAAACATCCTCAGGAAGATTTTACGTTTTAAATTTTTTAGACAAAGTCAAAGGAATAGTAATCAGCATAAGCATTGGATACCATTGCTGATACTTACGAATTGTGATATTAAAAATATATTGAAGATTTAGAGTTATATCGAAAATTTTTAATTAATCGAAATTTTAATATCCATACCAATGATAACATTCTAAAATACAATGAATTGATTTAATATTCATTGATATTTTGATTTTTTTTAATATTTATGCTAATAAATATACCCTACTTTCCCAACATTTAGAATAAGGTTATTGCCCTAAAATTCAGTTATAGACACTTAGGAGATCATTTAAACCATGATATTTTGGCATATGATAGAGAAACATCTTATAAACATTTTCAGTATGTTTTCCTATAAAATAACGATCTCACATGAAATTACTAAAATATCAAATTTTGATTTTCACTTTAAAGTTGGGAGAATACTCTACAGTGACAGGGTATACAATTTTAACCTTTATTTTGATTATAAATAAAGTATTGATAGAGATATGAGTTGTACAGAATTATACACGTGTGTTTAATCAAATGTAAGTTGTGCAACAATAATGATTAGCTAGATAGTATATTAAGGAACTGTGATTTATGATCTAATTCAATAAGATGTAAATGATATTCAAATATATTAAATAAATGCGAATGTTCAAGATGTGAAATCGGTTAGTTAACTGTTGTATATAGATATTTTACTGTGATTAATGAATTTTTTAACAATTTAAAATTATCAAATTTCAAAATATGCGCAATGAGATAATTTGAGAGTATTTTGAGAACTGAAGACTTATGATTTAGTGTTTTTGAATAAGCACATCAATATAAAGATAGAAAATAAATTGAGATATAATTTTTTTGAAGGTATTATAAGGGTGGAGGTAGTAGGATAAATTTTTAATGTTCTATACTTTCATGGCAAATAATTAAATAGAAGTAAAACTTTGTTTTAAGAATTGAAAATTTTAAATAAAAAAGGAATGTTAGTAATGCTAATTTATTTGATTCCGGGGGACACCCCGGTTATCAAATATATTTATTAAAATGGAAAATCTCTCACTTTTCGAAAAAATCGAAACTGCAAGGATCTCCGATTCTCGATATGATAATTTATTTGATTCCGGGAGACACCCCGGTTATCAAATATATTTATTAGAACGGAAAATCTCTCACTTTTCGAAAAAATCGAAACTGCAAGGATCTCCGATTCTCGATATGATAATTTATTTGATTCCGGGAGACACCCCGGTTATCAAATATATTTATTAGAACGGAAAATCTCTCACTTTTCGAAAAAATCGAAACTGCAAGGATCTCCGATTCTCGATATGATAATTTATTTGATTCCGGGGACACCCCGGTTATCAAATATATTTATTAGAACGGAAAATCTCTCACTTTTCGAAAAAATCGAAACTGCAAGGATCTCCGATTCTCGATATGATAATTTATTTGATTCCGGGAGACACCCCGGTTATCAAATATATTTATTAGAACGGAAAATCTCTCACTTTTCGAAAAAATCGAAACTGCAAGGATCTCCGATTCTCGATATGATAATTTATTTGATTCCGGGAGACACCCCGGTTATCAAATATATTTATTAGAACGGAAAATCTCTCACTTTTCGAAATTTTTTTTAACAAAAATATGGCATTCTTAAATTATAGTTACATGTTATTTCACAATCATTATCATTAAAAAATTCAATTATTCAAGTTGTTTTGTCCCGACGGTTTTTACGGTTATAAAAATGGTTGCGAACTCAATCCATCAGCAAAATGTCGGTTGGGGTGCCCTTCTTGGCCTCCTGAGTACTCACCAAGATACCCCCAGCTCCCGCAAAACACCTCCCTTAGGTGAGCATTAACTGATGACATGAGTTAACAATTCTACAAAATCATCAAGCATGAAGGTTTATGATTTATAAATCAAAATCTCAGAAACTGCTTGACTTTGCAAGTTGCTGTCTTTACCGGTTACTCTGCTGCAATCTCTTTTCTGATTGCAGGCAGAGTTCTGCATCCTGAGGACATTGCCTTGCAGATATGCTTGTAATCACTACGTGAGCAACTTGGTGTTGCAAGTTGCTGTCTTTACCGGTTACTCTCCTGCAATCTCTTTTCTGATTGCAGGCAAAGTTCTGCATCCTGAGGACATTGCCTTGCAGATATGCTTGTAATCACTACGTGAGCAACTTGGTGTTGCAAGTTGCTGTCTTTACCGGTTAGCTTTTTTTGAAGTTTCTTCGCATCTTATATAAGCTCTAGATCAATATTTATCATCAGAATTTGCATCTCATAAAGCACGATATTAATCAAATAGGCAAATTTCATTCGGAGTCTCTCATTAAATGAGAAACTCCGAATGAGATTTGCTCTAAGGTAATGTACTTGTTATGCTTGGCCTAGAAGCAAGGAGGAAACATGTATATGGAGTATATAAGAATTTCCGAAAAAGTGACACCCAAAAAGTGACACTTTCAATAGGGAGTAACACTTAAAAAGTGACAATTTAAAATTCACAATAAATAAAAATAATAAATTTTTTAGTCTATTAAATTATTCTTTTCTTTGAAATCCTCTAAAAATTCTTCGAAATGTTCTAAAATATAATCTGGAGAATTATAACAAAATTCATTAATTTCTAACATATACGTATCTAACAATTCATTTGGAATTTCAAACGATCTTAAATATGTAATTGAATTTTGTATCTTCTCATTTATTTGAGAAAGTTTTTCTTCAGCATTTTCCAATAAAAATCTTAATGGATTCAAATTGGCTTCTTGATTCTGAACAAAATTTAATACTTGGTATAAACGTGATTGAACTTCTCTTTTCAATTTTGTTTTATAATCTGTCAATCGAGGCTCGCGAATTCTAATTGAAGGAATAAAACCTGTTTGAAGTAAATCGTTTTTAATACGATAAAAGTAATTGGGTGCAACTTCTTCTAAAAGATTTTTGACAAAAACATCAATTCTTTGATTTTTAACGCAGCCAAAATCGTGATATTTTATCTTTTTAAATAAAGATTCAGAAACGTTATTCACAACGGTTAATTCATTTGGTCTGGCAGCGGCTATCCACATCATAGCCAACAATTCCTTATACAAAATTCAAAAACTTGGGTGCAATCAGTTCTGATTGCACCCAAGTTTTTGAACTTTCTTGAGGGAATTAAAGGGTGAGAGATTTATAGTCTATCTATATATCTCCCACCCTCTAATTCCCTCCCTGACAGCGGGAAACTTTGTCTGAATGTTAAACTATTCAGACAAAGTTTCCCACTGTTTGCGAAGGAATTGTTGGCTATGATGTACTGATCATGAATCAGTACATCATAGCCAACAATTCCTTATATAAAGTTCAAAAACTTGGGTGCAATCAGAACTGATTGCACCCAAGTTTTTGAACTTTCTTGAGGGAATGGAAGAGTAAGAGGTATACATTATGAATATATACCTCTTACCCTTCCATTCCCTCTCTGACAGCGGAAAACTTTGTCTGAATGTTAAACTATTCAGACAAAGTTTACCGCTGTCAGCGAAAGAATTGTTCCATCTGGTGCATAGAGTGTGAATCTATGCACCAAATGGAGCAAGCCCCTCGCGAAATTG